TGAGCTGTCTTTAGCTTAGCCGTGGCTAACTCAGTGCCACTGCAAACTTGAAGACGGGTTGTAGAGTGCTGAGCTTACTCTTATCCCATCATCCTTCTTTGAGCACCGAGAGGACCTCGTACTTTGGCCCAAAGATCAGCTCAAACGGACTATACCCTGTAGACCTCTTGCACCGTCTCTCTATGAGAACAAGAACAATGGTAGAGTTTCATTCCCAATCTGTCGGAAAAGTTGATGCAAAAACTTCTATCATTTTTTTAATGTTTGGTGAATCTTTCCAAGGCGCCTGGGACTGAGGGTGATAGGCAGTGGATAAGTGTGAATTATCCCTAACCTAGTAATAATTCCTAAATGCTTTGCAGTGAAGTTTAGTACCTTGATCACTTTGCTATTAGTTTTAGGAATGCCAAAACAAAGAAATGTATTTTTGTTAAGCTTTGTGAATAGCTTTATTATTGATACTACGCAAGTTGGGTTCGCTTCAGGATATATCTGGTTACTTTATCAGTCTAATTGTAAATAATACTGAATTTCCAGACTTTGACTTTTGGTAGTGGACCTACACAATCTATAATTAAATTCTGCAAAGGTTCTCCATCAGCAGGTATGGGTTGGAGAGTGCAGGTTTAATAGATGTCAGGTTTTCTCTACTTGCTGACATTCTCGCAACACCTAATATGATTCTTCACATCTTTCTTTAATGTTGGCCAATTAAATTCTTTTGTGATTCTATAAAGGTTTTTGTAATCCTAAGTGACTCCTGTTGACGTATTATGAGCTATATTTAATATCTGAGGTCTATACTTGGTACTTGGAACCACTAAACCTGTCGTATTATAATTTGCCGGCCCTCTGTCTCCTTTACCAGTCTCAGTGATACCAATAAATCATTTTTTTAACTTCATACTTGACTGGATGACCCAAGAGGATTTACCATGGCCTGGCCTCAGCGATTTTTAACGAAGGGTCCTTACGTTGTATCCTTCCCGGAAGGACAGTCCCTCGGGCATGGAAACAGAGACATCTGCATTCCTGCAAACCTGGGAATAGGAAGGCTTGATCGGGGTCTGTTCACTTGATTTACAGAGACTCCGGCGGTGTGTCTATAAAACAACGTGGCTATTCCGAGATCGGAGGACGTCCTAAGGATTGGTGATCATTCTCAGACAGCCCTTGGGGATGTTGCCCGAGTTATGGCCAACACTGGAGAAGCATTAATCATATAGGTTCAGGGACACGAACTAACAGTTGTAATGTTATTACCCAGTAATAACATGGGCATATTTTTCATGGGAATTCCTTTGTGATTACCTACAGTCAAGTACCCCAGTTGTAATATTTGCCACTGTACATAAATTTTATGCAAATGGAATAGAATATATAGTTCCTTCATAGGGCTTCCAATAAAAACTGATGAATTCAGAGGATAGTATTCTCTGAAAGGGGGTAATTATTACTTCTCTGACAAAGTGAGCAATATGCTCCCAGCATATTCTAAAGGTATTTACTTTAGTTTGGTTCGTAGTTTTTCCTGAGTAGGGAAATAAGACTTTCGCAAGTAATAAGGGGCCATACCTTTTTTCTACTCTCGAGGGGACATGTTACTAGGGATATTAGAGATTTTGACACAGATGGTTGAGGTTTTAGGGGCAGTTGAATGATATGACCTACTTTATTACACTGGAAGCAGACGACAGGCTTGCCCTTGTACTCCCGATGACGTTGCAAAGTGGTGTCGTTCTGGCTGGTGCCTCTCTGGATATTGTTGTTCGAGAGCTCCATAAAGTAGTTTGCCTCTCGCAGGGGGGGGTCCATATGTTGAGAAGAGTGGCTCACCAGGGACTTGGTTGGATGTCGTTTTAGGGACGCTCTCCCTCCGAGCTGGCACTTCATTCTCCATGTGGTCGTCTATGCTCACGCCCAGGACTGTTGAAAAGAGAGAACGGTCCGATCGCGCAAGGAGCGAGTTTCGTTTCGAAGGTATCAGCCAACCTGGCCGGCACTCCAATGCATTTGGTTAAGTCACGATCCTGCAGAAAGACACGACCTCTGGTCCCACAGACTCCAGCAGCAGCGTTATCCAATCTGAATAAGCTGCACAGCTCTCAGTTAGAGACACCACTCGCTTTATACCAGCTGGTAAGCTTTGGTTTGCTGTCTCCAAAGTCCACCCAGGTTTGACCAAGCTGGCCTGTTCTCAATTTGAAGGTCTTTCGATATTTAGCTGGTAATGGATATGCTCCCAACACTGTGGTCTTCACTACTTGATAAATCAGAGGAATTCAGCGTCAGTTATTACCGACTGTAAATTCCTGTGCCTTACCCAATAATGCTGTATGAACCAACGCTGCCCCGTGCACTGTTCCGGCCACCTGCAAGGCTCGAGCCTGATTTTCGAAGAGCTTTCGAAAAATTGCTCTGGTTCTGTCATTGATGCGGGGAACAGCTTGTGTACGGCTTTTTGTTAAAATGAAATCTGTTTACGAGAAGGCAGAAAATGCCTCCTTTCTCTTTCCCTATCAAATTCTTCCCTTGCGGAATGCTCTCTGTTCCCTAGTTTGCTAGATTGATTTTTGCCAGATGAAGTGCCAACGGACGCTTGATTCACTCCTGAGGTACAACCCATGCTGTCACTATACTGACCATTTTGCTCCGTAGGTGTATAATCTTCCTCCTGCGAGAAATAGATAGTTTTTGCCCTAGCTCCCGTAGAGGAGGGGTTCTGATGTGCCATCTCTTCTTCAATAAGTTGTCAGCAATAAGTGACGCAGGTTGCGCAGCTGTAAGAGTGCGTTTATAGGGAATGCCAATGGAACGAGCAATTTGTCCAACAACGCGGTAGGACAATTTTAGGTAGGTTATGCAAGTATATGCCGAGGACACCGGGCGTCTGAACTCGTCTAGGTGGATTAGTTATTCGCTATTGCACAGTACGAATACCCCAGCTCACGTAAACATAGGATACTGGTTAATGTTTGCAGAACACGCTTAGCTATGCACAGTACGATTAGCAGAATAGCTCCATACAAGCAAGCCGACTGCACACAAGACTGACCGTGCGAAGCGAGCACACTGAACAAGCTCAGTAGCGAGCTGCTGAACGATCACACAATTAGCAAGGCTGATCATAAAGACCACTGACAATTAGCAAAATTTGTTAAAAAGCGAAGCGAAACAGCAAGCTAACATTGTTACTGCTACAAGCTTCACCCTAAGCTCAAAACGTTTCTCTAAGTCCAGCTTCGGACAGGCTACCATATACAACTGGGATTTCAAATGCCTGTTATCCCAGGTGTTATGGGAAGCAAATAAACACTGTTGAAAAAGTTTTGATACCTTTTTTATATTATCCTTCACCAATTATAACAGCAATATGTACACTATGTTCTGATGATAATACATATAGTGCACTCACACGGTAAGCAAGCAGAAATAGAAGCCACAAGATAGCAGACGTGCTTCAACAGCTCTAGACGTGGTAATGACAAGGGCAGACAGGAGAGCGGTATCCACATAACCTCTGCGATTGTCAATCCCACCTTCTTATTGGCTAGAACCTGGTCACTAGTTGAACGATGGGGCCCCATCATCAACTCTTAGCAACCTGGTTCGCTGGTTGGGGGAGATAGCCTGTAAATGAGGGTGTGTCCATGCGCCGAATAAAGGTTACGTACTCTTTGCATGCCACAGCAGAGTATATGGAGAGTAAAAGAAAGGTGAAGAAAGTGGTGAGAGAGTGTAAAAGGAGAGCAGATGATAGGGTGGGAGAGGCACTGTCAAAAAATTTTGATGAAAATAAGAAAAAATTTTGGAGTGAGATAAACAAGTTAAGAAAGCCAAGGGAATGAATGGAGTAGGAGAGTTAGTAGATGGGGAGATGGAGGTTTTGGGTAGATGGTGAGAATATTTTGAGGCACTTATAAATGTCGACAAAGAAAGGGAGGCAGTAATTTCATGCACTGGCCAGGGAGGTGTACCATCTTTTAGGAGTGAAGAAGAGCAGGATGTGAGTGTGGGGGAGGTGCATGAGGCATTATGCAGAATGAAAGAGGGTAAAGCAGCTGGAACTGATGGGATCATGACAAAAGTGTTAAAAGCAGGGGGAATATAGTGTTGGAGTGGTTGTTTTTTTACTCTTGAACATCGGCAAAAATTTAACATTTCCTCTACTTTGAGCTCAGTTTCAAGCCATTTCCAGTGCTAAAACCAATCAAAATCATCTCTATTTCTGTAATATGTCTTCCATTCTGTCAAATGACACCAGGAAATCGCAAATACAACTATAAAAAACATACGAAAAACACTGCAAAGTCGCTGTTTTGATAAAAAATCACGATCTCAGTTTGTTTTGTCTCACTATACACTGCGTGCTGCAGGATTTGTTTTAGGTGGTGCACACATACCACATATTGCGGCTCTGGTGGCTAATGCTCTCGCTTCACACGGCGAGGGCCTGGGTTCGATTCCCAGCCAGAGTAGTAAACATTAGGCGTGTTTCTTTCCACCTGTTGTTTATGTTCCCCATCAGTAAAATGGGTACCTGGGTGTTAGTCGACTGGCGTGGGTCGCATCCTGGGACACTGACCTAATTTGCCTGACATGCCGAGCATAACAAGGGGCTTTCTATATAGTAGTAGTATGTCATTGTTGTCAACTAGGCCTGTATACCTTGTACATGTAGTAAATAAAGATATTATTATTATTATTATTATTATAGATGTATTCTCTCATATCTAGGCCCAAATTTACCACTCACAGCTTATCAGAGTGAGCTGAGCTCATGGCGCAGATCTACGGTTTAGACCCTGAATGTAAAGCCGTAAATCTATGGCACGGACCCTGAAAGGGTTAAGGTCACTTGTATGCTAGTAAACTGCAAATAAAGAAATGACCAATCATTAAGATAACACTTTATAGGTCACTCGACATTTTCTAAACAATTACGCACATTAAACACTGTATGCAATTTAAGACATTTCAGGAAATATTAAACTTGTAAATAACAAATGTATAATGTATTTACTTTTAAGATTAAAGAAAATCTACAATACCAGCTTTAAATGAATACTAGAAAATGCTGCACTCACAAACTTTCAATAAATGCATATTCATTATCTTAAACAAACATGTTTGTTGAGACTTAACAGTAACATCCCAAGGTTGCAAGTTGTCTGTACTCATAACAAATGTCAATAACTTTATTCAACAATTTATATTTTTCTATAAAAATAGCTTATAAATCAATTTATTAATATTTTTTGACATACCATAAATACTGAAATATAACCTGATTGCACGCACAGGTCGACCTACGAGTTTTTGCCAAATAATACTCCATTTTTCTTGTTCCTGTGATGGTTTACCCTAGTTTTTGAGGCTCTTTCAAAGGGATCAGATGGTCGTGATGCCAAAACTTGGAAAAAGGTAATGAAAATGTCAAAACAGCACCTGAAACTTCACAATAATAGTAACAAAAAAATATACATAAGCCCAAATACAGTGAACCCTCGTTTTTTGTAATTAATCCGTTCCAGAGAGTGTGACTATTATCAAAATTGACAATTTGCGAATCCATTTTCCCCATAAGAAATAATGTAAATCCAATTACTAATTCGTTCCAGACACCCAGAAGTATCAACAATTTTTTTTCTTTACCTTAAAGATAGATTTACATGCACAAAAGAATGAACATTTAACATGACAGGGAAGAGGAGGAGAGGGAAGAGAGGTTATTGTTTGGAAGGGGAATCCCCCTCCATAAGGACTTTAGGTCACTTCAGAGGTCACTTCCCTAGCTTAAATATAGATTTACATTCAGAAAAGAATGCCAAATAAATGTAAAGCACTAATAAAATGTATAACTGAACATTTAACATCACACTTACCTTTTACTGAAGACTTTTGTTGGTGTATGGCAAACGGGGCAGAGAGAGGGGAGGCGAGTTTATTGTTGGAGAATATGACACTAATATCAACTCTACAGCTTATTTATCTATCACAATTCAACTTATATGACATAATAAACAATATGAATAACAAAGAAACATGGAATATACTCTAGAATGAATAAAAGTCATTATGTATGTCACAAGAGGTGTTGTGTTGTTGTTGGGTGTATAAAGGCCACTGAGAGTAAGCCGTCCATAATGGTGGTGAAGCAGCAGCTGAGGCGGCGGTGTTTTCTGTAGCCCTATATAACTCCAACAACATTGGAGGAGTTGGTAGAATCGCTGAATCACTGAAGAAGGCACCCTCTACCACCATCACTATCACAACTGCTACCACTCTACCACCACCACCTTCGTATTTTTCTACAAACTTTTTCTTAAATTATATGTGTTTCTCACACTCTTCACTAAAGGGCTGGAACTAGAAGCTTTCTTTGGAGCCATGGTGACTTACTTAGCAGATGCAAGCACTAAAACAAATGGAATATTATGAAATGTATCGTATGAACTCGTGGGATCATCCTCACTCACTGAAAAACAATGGCACACTGGCTGGGAATGGAGTGTGAGGTGGCTCAGGGCTGTGTGTACACGTCCCAGACGAACGACTATTTGCTAGTCAAACGATGATTCGCGAGTCAATGTTTTGACAAAAATAACGTTACGATTTTCGAAAATTATGACTTTCGAGCCTTACGATTATTGAGGTTCCACTGTACTTGATAAACATATAGAAACACATGCTCAATAAAGGCAGATTCTACTCATACCCAACTATTACATAAACACAGAGCATTGCAGTAGGCCTACTGGTTCATGCCAGATAGGTCCTACTTACAACCAGCCATCACATAAGAATAAAGGAGCACTGTAGTAGGGCTACTAATCCATGCTAGGCAGACCCTACGTGTCATATGCATATTTGTTGGTTAGAGATTGGTAAAAACAAAGAGTAATTTATTTTTTGCATTGTTGACAGCTATGCATGACTAGCAAGTACCAAGAGTGGGAAGATGGGGGTAAAGGTACCCCCATGGTGGATGTTCTGTGGTGAAAGATAGGCAGAGAATGCCAACTTCTCATTCTTTAATCTGTACATACCCACTCTCTCAAGCAATTTTTCTTCAACACTTTCCCGTGGCCTGGTGGCAAAAGCTCTCACTTCACACAGCGAGGGTCCGGGTTCAATTCCCGGTGAAGGGGTGGAAACATCGGACACATTTTCTTTACACCGGTTGTCTATGCTCACCCATCAGTAAAATGGGTACCTGAGTGTTAGTCGAATGGTGTGGATCACATCCTGGGACAAAACTGACCTAATTTGCCCGAAATGCTCTGCATAACAAGGGGCTTTCTATATAGTATGTCACTGATGTCAGCTAGGCCTGTATACCTTGTACATGTACTTGTAGTAATTAAAGATATTATTATTATTATTTACAATGCCTTACGAAACCATACTTTGTATTCCACATTAAAAACTAAAAAGAGAAATAAAACATACACATCAGCTTTTAGTGAGCGAGAAGGACGGGAATATGGCTGGCCATGGTGGATAGGATTTGGGATGGAAAGAACAGGAAGACTGACATCCTGTCTCTTCTCCATAACCTGGCAAACTATACTCATCCTGATTCCCCACCATAATAAACTGAACAATTTTTTTTTTACATTATCCTATGCAACCATGATTTTCATTTCAAATTAATAAACTGAGAGGAGGAATAAAATATTGTGCCAAAGCTCATTTTAACATCTTGTTACCATCAAGCCCCGGCTAACTTGCATTTTGTGTGTAAACTCCACATATAACAAAGGAAAATATACCTGCATATTGCCTTTATAACTGCTGAATTATAAATTACATAAAAAGAAATGATTACCAAATCATATTAGAAGTAGAAAGATCATTGATAGCCCTCAAAAATTATCTGCCGACATTCATATTCCTAACTTATTAAAAACTTACAAATTAACTTTGGATTATTTTGAACTATTCAGTAAAATAATGAAATAAGTAATAACATTTTTAGCTTCCTAATAAATATATGGAAGTAGTTTGGAGGAAGAAAATAATTTGAAATAAAGTAATGTTGATTATCTATGAATGTGTGAGCGATGCCATGACCCCACCTACCCAGTCTTCATTTAAGGATGAGAACAATGGCTAATCCAACAACTCTGACCCCTCTAAAACAACCTGAAGGAAGATCTTCAGTTACTGTCTCCCTGGAACCCTCCCAAGCTACCTGCTGCCTTACCAGCACAAATGAATAATGGATATTGTCAAATTTATTTTTATATTTAAGGCAGAATACAGTTACTGGGTGTAGTCATGCCTCTGATGCACTGAATGTGTAGGCCCTCAAAATGTAAAGATTTCGACCTCTCAAAAGTATTATGCATGAATAGGTCTACCCTCCCCCACTTTTGTCTAAACTTTATCTGAAAACTTCAGCCTATACTCACTTGAATATTTATGGTTGTGTGTGTTACTGGTTGTGAAGAACCTTTATGTATGTGACTGAAAATCTGAAGAACTCGTCACAATGATTTTTTTAAATCAAGTACATAATCAAGACCAAAATTACTGCTATAATAAAGTAATCAACTTCTGTACTTAAGAGTCACTGCAATATAACTAACAAGGTACATTGAAAGTTTCTGTTTTGATAATACATGTATTTTAATTTACATATGTGACTAAGTCAAGTTCATATTACACCATATTTGTGAGCACGGCTCCTCCATGCTGAGACACAGCTTCCTTCATACGATCAAACCACAGAGATATGTGTGTGTTTTCTTTAAGGTCTTGAAAGGCCTGACAACCTTCAACAGCAGTCAACACACCATATACTGCAAGATCAGAAAGGTTGGGCTGCTCTCCACCCATGAACTTTGTGCCTTTCTTCTTCAGAGCTTTCAAAAACACATTGGTTTCTTCATACAATGTTTCCCTCACATCATCTTTTAACTGATATCTGGAAAAGATATTTGGGGGTTAGAAAAAATAATATTCATGGCTAGAAAACAATGTATGCAAATACTTTTGGTGAGATGACATTATGGCTTGAAATAATGAACAGGAAGTGAAGTGACTGACATTACTTTCCTTCAAGGGAGGTGCACTGATGCTAGTGATTGGTTCTTGATTCAAGGAACCACTGAGAGTCACTCTTTAAGGAATCACTCCTCAAAGATAAATGGACATGGAAGGTTTGGTAATTCTACCATTATTACTACCAATCTTCAAAGAATCATTCTTCAAGGAGCCACTCTTCCCTTCCTAGGATCAAATATGATTACCTCTCATTCCTCAGACAGTGTATGAATACTATAGGTTCAGTGGTTCCCCTGAAAAGCCAAGGCCCTGAGAGAAGTTTAACCGTTTCAGGGTTTCCGACGTACTAGTAGTACTTCTTTTGCACCAGGGTTATTGACGTGCTAGTACGAGTAAATTCTAGCGTCTTCAAATCTAGCGAGAAAAAGCTGGTAGGCCTACATACGAAAGAATGGGTCTATGTGGTCAGTGTGCAAAGTATAAAAATAATCCTGCAGCACACACTGCATGAGAAAAAAAGACTTTAACCGTGTTTTTCGTTTAAAACAGTGACTTTGCACAGTATTTTTGTGTGGTATTCATGATTGTATTCTAGTTTTCCTGGTCTCATTTTATAGAATGGAAGACATATTACAGAAATTGAGATGATTCTGATTGGTTTCACAATGAAAAGTACCTTGAAATTGAGCTCAAAGTAGCAGAAATGTTCGATTTTTGCGAAAGTTCAAAAGTAAACAAATCCTGCCATGCGTTCAATACACATCACCTGGTGAGTCTAATATTCTTTCACAAGTGCACTGATATTATTTATACCATTTCTACACTAATGCAATAGTCTGCATAACAGTAAATCTTCTATTTTTTGTGAGAATAAAAATTCAAAGTGGAAAGTAAAAGAAATGTAAGAGGGGCCTGGGGACATGACTAATGAACATAGAAAATGTTATTTTAGTGCCAGAAATGTCTGTCTTGTTTATTCTGGACAATATTTGAAATTTGTGTGAAATTGGCAAAATTGCCAATTTCTGACCACTTTATTGGATAGTTGAAATCGGTAAATGGGTGGTTTCTTGTATTCATTCGATAGAAAAAAAATGGAGTTCTAGTGAAATAGTTATGATTTTTGTCGACTAGTACACTTGAACTGGCTGAAAATAGGGCTCAAAGTGGGTGAAATCGCCGAGACCGTTAACTTCGCGAGAGCATAATTCCGTATGTTTCCCATCAAATTTAATACTTTTGGTGTCATTATAATTGGGAAAAGATTCTCTATCATTTCATGATAATTTTTTTTTTTTTTTTTTACAAAAAAATTTTTGAGCCTGAGAACAAGTTTAGGGGAGGGCCTCTTGACCCTGAAAGGGTTAAGTAAAATGGTGTAAGTATGAAGTGCTAATGACTCATGGCAAAACAAACTGGAAGCATCCACCCTTTTTGCAAATGACACTGCTTTATGACCCGAATCATTTGAGAAATGAGATGGGAATATTCTTTTTTTTTTTTTTAACACATCGGCTGTTTCCCACCAAGGCAGGGTGGCCCAAAAAAGAAAATTTTCATCATTCACTCCATCACTGTCTTGCCAGAGGCGTGCTTATACTAGAGTTATAAAACTGCAACATTAACACCCCTCCTTCAAAGTGCAGACACTGTACTTCCCATCTCCAGGATTCAAGTCCGATCTGCCAGAACTGAATCCCTTCATAAATGTTACCTTCCTTACACTCCAACAGCATGTCAAGTCCTAAAAACCATTGATCTCCATATGCTCCTATCTAATATGCTCACGCATGCCTGCTGGAAGTCTCAGCCCCTTGCACACAAAACCTTTACCTCCTCCCTCCAACCTTTCCTTGGCTAACCCCTACCCCCACCTTCCCTCCACTACAAATTTAAACTCTCAAAGTCATTCTATTTTGTTCCAGCCTCTCTACATGTCTGAACCACCTCAACAAACCTTCCTCAGCCCTCTGGATAATAGTTTTGGTAATCGTGCACCTCCTCCTAATTTCCAAACTACAAATTCTCTGCATTATATTCACACCACACATTGCCCTCAGACACAACATCTCCACTGCCTCCCACATTCTCCTTGTTGCAATATTCACCACCTATGTTTCACACCCATATAAGAGTGTTGGTATAACTATACTCTCATACATTCCCCTCTTGCTTCCATGGACAAAGTCTTTGTCTTCACAGACTCCTCAGTGCACTACTTGCCTTTTTCCTTTCGTCAATTCTATGATTCACCTCATCTTTCACAGACCCACCTACTGACACGTCCACTCCTAAATATCTGAATACATTCACCTCCATACTCTCTCCCTCCAAACTGATATCCAGTCTTTCATTACCAAATTTTTTTTGTTACCCTCATCACCTTACTCTTTCCTATATTCACTGTTAAATTTCTTCTTTTACATACCCTACCAAACTCATCAACCAACCTTTGCAACTTCTCTTCAGAATCTTTCAAAAGTACAGTGTCATCAGCAAAGAGCAACAGTGACAACTCCCACTTTGTGTTAAATTCTTTATCTTTTAACCCCACACCTCTTGGCAACACCTGAGCATTCACTTCTCTTACAACCCCATCTATAAATATATTGAACAACCATGGTGACATCACGCATCCTTGTCTAAGGCCTACTTTTACTGGGAAATAAACTCTCTCTCTCTCCTACATACTCTAACCTGAGCCTCTCTATCCTCGTAAAAACTCTTCACTGCTTTCCATAACCTAAATGCTATTCCATACATTTGCAACATCTGCCACATTGCCCTATCCACTATCCATCCTGCCATATGCCTTTTCCAAATCCATAAATGCCACAAAAATCTCTTTACCCTTATCTAAATACTGTTCACCTATATGTTTCACAGTAAACACTTGGTCTACACACCCTCTACCCTTCCTAAAGCCTCCTTGTTCATCTGCTATCCTACTCTCCATCTTACTCTTAATTCTTTCAATAATAACTACCATACACTTTACCAGGTATACTCAACAGACTTATTTCCCAATAATTTTTGCTGTCTTTTGTCCCTTCTGCCTTTATACAAAGGAACTATGCATGCTTTCTACCAATCCCTAGCTACCTTACCCTCTTCCATATATTTATTAAATAAAAGCACCAACCACTCCAAAATTATATCCCCACCTGCTTTTAACATTTCTATCTTCATCCCACAAAGCCCAGCTGCCTTATCCCTTTCATTCTACCCACTGCCTCAAACTTCCCCCCCACTCACAACTGGCTCTTCCTCACTCCTATAAGATGTTATTCCTCCTTGCCCTATACACGAAATCACAGCTTCCCTACCTTCATCAACATTTAACAGTTCCTCAAAATATTCTCTCCATCTTCCTCAAACTATCCATTTAATAACTCTCCTCTTCTATTTTTAACTATCAAATCCATTCGTTCCCTAGGCTTCGTCAACTTATTAATCTCACTCCAAAACTTTTTCTTATTTTCAACAAAATTTGTTGATATTGCTTCACCACTCTCTTCAAAACCTCTCATATGCTAACTTTTTGTCTCTTACTTCTCTCTTTACAACATCATTCCTCTAATCACTCTTCTTCCCTCCCGCACCCACTTTCCTGTAACCACAAACTTCTGCTGAACATTAACAGTACAGATCTGCATGGATCATTAGCTGATTAACTATGTACTTCATGAGACAAATCTGAAAGATATGAAGCAGCTACAAACAAAATGTTACCAGATGTTGATTACAAGGCAGCTCAAACTCTCAAACTTATCAGAAAGAAGGTACCCAGTGACGAAGATGCACCAGAAGTATATCTGAATGCCAGAGATCAATTTCGTATCACCACTTTTTACACAATTATTGAAAACTTGAAACCAAGATGAGAAGAATTGGAGAGATATACAAAGAAATAGCAGAGAGGTTTTCTTTTCTAAGTGATGTCTCAAGAAGACTGGAGGCAGTGGAGATGTCATGTCTGATAGCAACATGTGGCATGAATGTAATGCAGAGAATTCGTAGTCTGGAAATTAGGAGGAGGTGTGGGGCTACTAAAAGTATTTTCCAGAGGGCTGTGGAGAGGTTGTTGAGGTGGTTCAGACATTTAGAGAGACCTGGAAAGTGTATAAATCTGTAGTGGAAGGAAGGCAGGGTAGGGGTCAGCCTAGGAAAGATTGGAGGGAGGGGGTAAAGGAGGTTCTGTGCGTGAAGGGGCTTGGATTTCCAGTAAGCATGCGTAAGCGTGTTAGATAGGAGCGAGTAGAGACAAGTGGTTGTTAGGACCTGATGTGCTGTTGGAGTGTGAACAAGGTAACACTTATGAAGGGAGTCAGGGAAACCGGCAGGCCGGATTTCAGTCCTGGAGGTGTGAAGTATAGTGCCTGCACTCTGAAGGAGGGGTGGTGGTGAGTTATAGTTTTGTAACTGTAGTGTAGGCACACCTCTGGCAAGACAGTGATGGAGTGAATGATGATCAAAGTGTTTCTTTTTTTCCGGGTCACCCTGCCTTGGTGGGAAACAGCCGATGTGTTAAACTAAAAAAAAAAAAAAGGTTTTTGTTGCATTTATGGATTTGGAAAAGGCATATGATAGGGTGCAATGTAACAGATGGTGCAAATGTATGGAACAGGAGGTAAGTTACTGAAAGTTGTGAAGAGTTTTTACAAGGATAGTAAGGCTCAGGTTAGAGTATGCAGGAGAGAGGGAGATTATTTCCCAGTAAAAGTAAGCCTTATACAGAGATGCATGATGTCACCATGGTTGTTCAATATATTTATAGAAGGGGTTGTAAGAGAAGTGAATGCTTGGGTGTTGGCAAGAGGAGCAGATAAAGAATCTAACACAAAGTGGGAGTTGTAACAGTTGCTCTTTGCTGATGACACTGTGCTTTTAAGAGATTCTGGAGAGAAGTTGCAGAGGTTGGTGGACAAGTTTGGTAGGGTATATAAAAGGAAATTAAAAGTGAACATAGGAAAGATTAAAGTGATGAGGATAAAAAATTAGAATGAAAGATTGGACATCAGATTGGAGGGAGGAAATATGGAGGAAGTAAATGTTTTCAGATATCTGGGAGTGGACTTGTCAGCAGATGGGTCTATGAAAGATGAGGTGAATCATAGAACTGATGAGGGGAAAAAAAGGTGAGCAGTGCATTGAGGGGTTTGTGAAGACAAAGATTGTTATCCATGGAAGCAAAGAGGGCAATGTACAAGAGTATAGTTACACCAATGCTCTTCTATGGGTGCGAAGCATGAGTGGTGAATGTTGCAACAAGAAGGCTGGAGGCAGTGGAGATGTCTTGTGTAAGGGCAATGTGCAGTGTTAATATAACACAGAGAATCTGCAGGATTACTAAAAGTATTATCCAGAGCTGAGGAGGGGTTGTTGAGGTGGTTCAAACATCTAGAGAGGATGAAACCAAATAGACTTGGAATATGTGCATGCAAGGAATTTATCAGCAGTTTTGATAGCCATGTTTATACTACATTAGCCATTTTCAATTAATAACTGTCTTGCCAGAGGCACACAGACATTGCACTTCAAATAATCTCTGAACCATAACATTCCCACCATAGTACAATACAGGCACTGTGCTTCCCATCTCTATTTCTTCACCCATCCTTCACTGTGCTGGCCTTATATGTCCCACCACCATAACCACAACATCCTCACCCCTCCTTCAGAGCGCTGGCACTGTGATTCCTACCTCAACAACCACGTCTTCACCTCTCCTTCAGAGTGTAAGCACTGTACTTCCTACCTTCACAACCACAACATCCCCACCCCTCCTTTGGACTGACTGCACAACTTCCCACCCCTACAACATCCCTACCCATTCTTCAAAACACAGGCACTGTACCACCCACCTCCACAACATTTTCACCCATCACTGAATGAAACACTATATACAGTCATCACCATGACTGTATATAGTGTATCACTAATACACTATATACAGTCAACATGAACACTCTTATACATCACTAATACACTATTATACAGTCATCAACATGAACATATTGTTTTCCCTTAACTATCTTTCCAACTAAATTTGTTCACTGTTCAGAACATTATCTTTAATGTTCAGTAGTACATTACCTTCTCTTTAAACTCTTGCCAATGAAGAACATAGCAATTGCACCCACATAGACAGCTAACAGTCGCTCCCATGTTGCAAAGTGCTCCTCCCAGTTGCCAGCCTGTATCAACAGAGGATATACAGGACACCAGTAATATAAGAAATACAAACATTAATAAAAATAGCCAGTATGTACATGATCTGATAAGGGATTCAGAGAGTTGATCTAGCAGCCTCACAGAAGCAAGGTACCAATGTTACCACTAGGCCGTAAGTGTCGAGTCTTACCAAGCAGCAGTTTTCCTGCCACTCGCTGGATTTGTGAAGACCTGGCTTTGAGGGTATAATCCTCAAAAACAGTCACAGGGAATTTACAATACAGTGGACCCTCGTTTTTCATAATTAATCCATTCCAGGAAGTGTGACTATTTTTGAAATTGACGATTTTCGAAACCCTTTTCCCTGTGAGAAATAATATAAATACAATTAATCCGTTCCAGACACCCAGAAGCATTAAAACAAAAATTTTTTAACATGAAATATAGATGTAGTACATACACAATACAATGGGACATGATGAATAAAACATTAACAGCATAACACTTACCTTTATTGGCGATTCTTCTTAGTGTATGGAAGGCTGGAGGAGGAGACAGATTGGATTATTTACTGTCTGGAAGGGGAATTCCCTTCCATCAACACCTCAGGTACCAAGTCCTTTTCTGGGGTTACTTCTCTTCTCTGTTTCTTAATGCCACTAGGACATTAGTGTCCAGAGAGTTCTGTTTCTGGCATCTCTTTAAAACTTCCCTAAAATGGGCCAAGACTCTGTCACTGTACAAGTTGCCAATATGGTTTGCAACAGCCTTGTCAGGGTGATGTTTCTCCATAAATCTTTCCATCCTACCCCACATTTCAAAAATCTCCTTAATTTCTGAAGAAGGCAACTTCTTGCTGCTCCTCAGTGGTTAGCTCTTCATTGTGGTCCTCCACCAACTCTTCCACATCCTCCAAACTCACATCTAACCCCATGGAACTCCCCAATGCCACAATAGATTCCACAACTGCCATAGGCTCGTCAGGGTCAGCCCCAAACCCTTCAAATCCCTCTTGTGGACACAATCTGACCACAATTTTCTCCAAGCAGAGTTCAAAGTCCTGATAGTCACTCCCTCCAAAGCCTTACCTATAAGGCTTATGCAATGGAGGACACTGAAGTGATCTTTCCAAAACTCTCTTAGGGTAAAATGAGTGTGTGAGGTCACATTAAAGCACCTTTGAAACATTGCTTTTGTGTAGAGTTTTTTTAAAGTTTGAAATGATCTGCTGGTCCATGGGCTGGAGGAGAGGAGTGGTATTAGGGAGCAAGAATTTTACTGTGATGAACCCATACTCCTCCAGAATTAGGTCATCCAAGTTTGGAGGATGAGCAGGTGCGCTGTCCATTAGCAGGAGGCACTTGAGATCCAATTTCTTTTCCAGGAGATAATTTGGTAGGGTGTGCAAAAGAAGAAAATTAAAGGTGAATACAGGAAAGAGTAAGGTTATGAGGATAACAAAAAGATTAGGTGAAAGATTGAATATCAGATTGGAGGGAGAGTGTATGGAGGAGGTGAATGTATTCAGGTATTTGGGAGTGGACGTGTCAGCGGATGGGTCTATGAAAGATGAGGTGAATCATAGAATTGATGAGGGAAAAAGAGTGAGTGGTGCACTTAGGAGTCTGTGGAGACAAAGAACTTTGTCCTTGGAGGCAAAGAGGGGAATGTATGAGAGTATAGTTTTACCAACGCTCTTGTATGGGTGTGAAGCATGGGTGAGGAATGTTGCAGCGAGGAGAAGGCTAGAGGCAGTGGAGATGTCATGTCTGAGGGCAATGTGTGGTGTGAATATAATGCAGAGAATTCGTAGTTTGGAAGTTAGGAGGAGGTGCGGGATTACCAAAACTGTTGTCCAGAGGGCTGAGGAAGGGTTGTTGAGGTGGTTCGGACATGTAGAGAGAATGGAGCGAAACAGAATGACTTCAAGAGTGTATCAGTCTGTAGTGGAAGGAAGGCGGGGTAGGGGTCGGCCTAGGAAGGGTTGGAGAGAGGGGGTAAAGGAGGTTTTGTGTGCGAGGGGCTTGGACTTCCAGCAGGTATGCGTGAGCGTGTTTGATAGGAGTGAATGGAGACAAATGGTTTTTAATACTTGACGTGCTGTTGGAGTGTGAGCAAAGTAACATTTATGAAGGGGTTCAGGGAAACCGGCAGGCCGGACTTGAGTCCTGGAGATGGGAAGTACAGTGCCTGCACTCTGAAGGAGGGGTGTTAATGTTGCAGTTTAAAAACTGTAGTGTAAAGCACCCTTCTGGCAAGACAGTGATGGAGTGAATGATGGTGAAAGTTTTTCTTTTTCGGGCCACCCTGCCTTGGTGGGAATCGGCCAGTGTGATAATAAAATATAAAATAAAATAATTCTTCACACTGGAGCCAAACACTTCATTGAACCACTCGACGAAAATTTCCCTCGTGACCCATGCCTTATTATTAGCTTTCCAAAACACACACATAAGAACATAAGAACGAAGGAACACTGCAGAAGGCCTACTGGCCCATGCGAGGCAGGTCCAAGTCTCCTACCAGCTTAAGCCAATGCACCCAACCTAGTCAGGTCAGGTCACATTGACTTAAGGGAGGAACACGGCAACCGACCTGGTAGCACAAGCTATCAGATCCAACTCACACCCACCCACATCCACTCATGTATTTATCCAACCTATTTTTAAAGCTACACAACGTTCTGGCCTCTATAACTGTACTCGGGAGTTTGTTCCACTCATCCACAACTCTATTACCAAACCAGTACTTTCCTATATCCTTCCTGAATCTGAATTTTTCCAACTTAAAACCATTGCTGCAAGTCCTGTCTAGGCTAGATATTTTCAGCACACTATTTACATCCCCTTTATTTATTCCTGTCTTCCATTTATACACCTCAATCATATCCCCCTAATTCTACGTCTTTCTAGAGAGTGCAGATTCAGGGCCCTTAGTCTATCCTCATAGGGAAGGTTTCTGATACATGGGATCAACTTTGTCATCCTCCTTTGTACATTTTCCAGAGAATTTATATCCATTCTGTAATACGGTGATCAAAACTGTGCAGCATAATCTAAATGAGGCCTAACCAAGGATGTATAGAGTTGAAGAACAACCTGAGGACTCCTATTATTTATGCTTCTTGATATGAAGCCAAGGATTCTATTAGCTTTATTGCGAACACTTATGCACTGTTGTCTTGGTTTCAGATTACTGCTAACCAGAACTCCTAAATCTTTTTCGCAATCCGTAATATTAAGATCTACATTATTTAGTTTATATGTGGCATGGTTATTGTCCTGTCCAACATTTAGAACTTTGCATTTGTCTATATTAAACTGCATCTGCCACTTCTCCGACCACTGCATCAGTCTATTCAAATCTTCCTGGAGTGCTCAAATGTCCTCGTCAGAATGAATTCGACGGCCTATTTTGGTGTCATCGGCAAACTTGCCGATGTCGCTCTTTATGCCCTCATCTATGTCGTTTATGTAGATTGTGAACAGCAGGGGGCCCAACACTGACCCCTGTGGAACACCGCTCGTGACGCTTCCCCACTTTGATTTCTCCCCATTTATGCAAACTCTCTGCTGCCTATTTGTCAACCATGCCTCTATCCAGGAAAAAATTTCTCCTCCTATTCCATGTGCCTTAATTTTCCTCAATAGTCTCTGATGTGGGACCCTGTCAAAAGCCTTACTGAAGTCCATATACACAATATCATATTCATTACCATGATCTAACTCCTCAAATACCTTTGTGAAAAAAGTTAATAAATTCGTAAGGCAGGAATGCCCCTTTGTAAAACCATGCTGAGATTCGTTGATTAATTTATGCTTTTCAAGGTGGCTACGAACTGCCTCGGCAATTATTGATTCCATAAATTTTCCCACTATGGAGGTTAGGCTTATTGGTCTATAGTTCGAAGCTAAGGACCTGTCACCTGTTTTGAAAATAGGTATCACATTTGCCATTTTCCACTTATCTGGCACCATGCCAGTTTGTAGTGATATGTTGAAAAAGATTAGCCAAAGGTGTGCTAAGCTCCTCTTTACATTCCTTTAGAACCCTTGCATACAGTTCATCAGGGCCTGGGGATTTGTTAGGTTTTAATTTATCTATTTGCCTAAGGACCATGTCACTTGTGACCCTAATCGTGCACAGTTTATTATCGTCCTGTTCTACATAATTTATCATTACTGGAATATCGAAATTTACTCTTCATAACATTGTTTTTCTTGAACGCTCTGGGATTTTCAGATTGGTACACTAGTAACGGCTTCACTTTGAAATCCTCACTAGCATTACTACAAAACATGAGCATCAGCCTGTCTTTCATAGGCTTGTGTCCTTACTGTCCCTTTTCCTCCTGAATAATGTAGGTCCTCTTTGGCATTTTCTTCCAAAAGAGGCCTGTTTTGTCACAACTGAACACTTGTTGAGGTTTTAATTGTTTAGTCTGTATGTACTCCTTGAATTCACTTACGAATTTTGTAGCTGCAATTTTGTCTGAACTGGCAGCCCCGCCATGCCTTATCACACTGTGTATGCCATTACGGTTCTTAAATCTCTCAAACCAGCCTTTGCTGGCCTTTAATTCACAAATATCAGTACTCGTTGCAGGCAATTTCTTTACAAGATCATCATGCAACTGCCTAGCCTTTTCACAAGTAAGTGACTGCATAATCCTATCTCCTGCTAATTGCTTCTAGTTTATCCACACCAATAATAACTTCTCAACATCTTTGAGTACTGGCGATCTCATTTTTGTCAGCATATTTACCCCCTTTGCAACAAAAGCTTCCTTGATTTCCTTTTTCTTGGCCACGATGGAAGCTATGGTTGTATGGGGTTTCTTATACATCCTGGCCAGTTTCACCACACGTACGCCACTTTCATATTGTTCAATGATGTTTTTCTTGAATTCAATCATATTTCTCACCTTCTTTACCAAAGGCCTGGCACTAGGAGCTTTCTCTGGAGCCTTGGTAGCTTATTTAGCAGTTGCAAGCACTAAAATGAATGGAATATTATGAAATAT